ACAAAGATCTACACTAAAGTGATTCTAAGGCACTGCGTGTTAATAATGAATACAAGCAGCCTAGCATCTTCAAACACTCATATAAGAAGTCACTATGCCTTAAGCTAAGAAATATTGTATATCCTGAGCATATACGCAACCTACAGGCACTACATACAAAGGCAGTCTATTCCTTGCAAAATTCACACACAGCTTTTTCAGATGTGAAATGAGGATTTGACACTCGTCCTGAATTTTATGTCACCTTTACCATCACTCATTTAATTGACTGTGTAGCCTTCTAGAAGAAGAAGGGTTAATCTGAGCCCAATGACTCCACTTTGAGGATGGTAGCATGAAAAGAAGTGGGACCCTCCATCTAAAGACTTCTATATCTAGAAGACATGCATCCAGAGGAAAACATTCTTTGAATGTTAAAAAGCACCCGACTAATCATACCCCCCCCCCCGCTCCTGAGAGTGGATGCACCCAAGTGCTGAGCCTTGACCATGGTGGAAACGAGAAGTAGTGTTCCTTTGCTTTACACGTGCATCAGCAATGGACCTTCACTAACAACAGCAATGGCCACCCTAGTTCTGTAGCGCTCCAGGGTGACATGGGTCCTCATGAGATCATTTGCATTTATAACTGTAGGAAACTGCAGTTTAGGCTTTGTGCAGAGAGAAGTCACCTTACCTGGCAGGAGCACTGTTAGTCTCAAGGACCCTAGAAAGACCCTGCAGGACCACACGTCAGGGAGCAGCACAAGCAGGACCGCTCCACAGGGCAAGGGGGTGAGCCAGGAGCCGAGGGGAAGCCCAGTGCAGTCACTCCCTCATCAGCAGGATGCGGTCCCACAGGGCTTGAACATAGCAGGCAGAGACAGAGACAGGGTCCATCAACAGGCCCAGACACAGCGAAGGGATGAACCAGGATCAGGGTACATCTAGGGCACCCAGTGAGGAACAGCAGGAGATGGAGCAGCAGAGAAGGTTGGTGACATGGCTACAACATAGGTCCAAGGTCCATCCAGCAAACAGAGGTAGAGACAAACCTACTTACAGTGGAGCTCAAGTGGGGACTGGGGGGCCCAGGCCTGAGCTTAAATGGGCTCCTGGACCACGAGCAGAGGGTGGGTGGGTCAGAGATGCAGGTGAGGCTGCTCAGGGCAGTTAAGACCTAGTGGTGCCCGCAGAGCCCCGACACTACAATGGGATTATAAATTAGAGCTCTTCACCAAAGATACAGTGCAAATAACAGCCTCTTTCTCTTGAAATTGAGATGGCTGGAGGTCATAGGGAGCTAGCCGTCCTCCAGGAGGAGGAGAGGAGCAACAGAGAAATGGGATCTGAGGAGATAAAAAGGCAAAGGCAACCTGTGACCCCTTTTTAAACAGTCTATACTCTTCATGTCCCATAATAAAGCTATTTTTATCACAGACTCGCACATAGAAGGATGACCTCAAAAAAGCCAGCAAAGCTGAATGCTGCCAGCTTGATTAGGTAGGATCAATACTTTTGTTTGAATGTGGGAAGGATATAGGCTCATTGTCTTCAGTTGAGCATGCCATGGTTTTGGCACACCAGCGATGTCTACAGGCTCTAGAAACACCATGATGATCACAGCTCTGTGTCTCCAATGTGCTTTGCAGAGCTGGGAAATACACGTCCACGTGAGTATGGGTTTGCAGGTGCAGGCACTGCTAAGAGCCCCACCTTTCAGCCCACTGGCCCTAGATCTCTTGAATCCTGCAGCCAAGAAAAAGTTTGCGGTCCATGAGCTGTGCAGCAACAAAGCACCTTGTCTAAAAACTCAGCAGGGAAAGGCTCCGGCAGTCCTGAGCCTGAAGAGGCATGACCCCGGAACTGGTTCCTCATGACCAAGCAAAGTGCAACAAGACACAACATGAAATAAGCACGAGTCTGGTCACTTGTTTACATCTGTCACTGCCGTTTGAAAAAGTCAGGCAGCGAATACAGTTAAAAATGAGGACTCAGCGTTCAGGCAGGTTTCAACAGCTTGCCAAGTTACCATGAATCAGCCAAACAGAGGGAACTGCCAAGCTCTTGGCAGGGGAACTTCCAGTAATGCTCTTAGCTTGCAGCAAATAGAAAATAACACAGCCCACAGTGGAAGGTGGTTAAATTAGGTCACATTTTTTCAGTGTTTGTTCCGAGTGGAGAGCCCTTACAGACAGTCACCAAGGCTGACGCTCAGCAGCTTGTGAGGATGGGGTGATCTGTGCCATTCATTTATGCCCTTAGTCACTGGCATTTCAACATGAAAGAGCAATACCTTGGAATTCAGGAGTTATGTCATCCAACCAGTCATTTTCTCTGGCATGGCCACTGTTTTTCCTGAATGCTGTTCAGAGCTGCAGGCTAATAAATATCACAGAATCACACAGAATGGCCGAGGTTGGAAGGGACCTCTGGAGATCATCTAAATATAACTAACGTGGTGAAAACACGCCTGTTTATATCCATCTGCATCCCTGCTTTCCTAGTCTCCCTACCAACAAGAACATTACAGCTATCCACGTGGGCCTCAACCCAAGAGGACTAAAGGGGGAGGTGTGAAACATGGGCAAACCTGCCAAAACATGATTATGGAGCCCATTCACCACTGCCCAGTCCTTGCATGGATAGGCTACAAAGAGGGAATAAGCAGGTATGAATGAAAGGATAGTGGGAAAAATGACAAGTGAGTGTATTTGAGAGGTTTGGCATCATGATTTACTCGATTAGCAGGGTTACTAAAACAGAAGCACAATAGACTTAATATCTGCATAATCACTAATCTCACAGGCAACAGAAATGTGCTGTCTTCCACACTGCCCTCATTAGGAATGGGGGCATGGAGAATAATTCCTATCAGATCTGAGTAGGTCCTGGAGGAAGATCCCCACTATCAGACACCCAGCTCATCCTGCTGA